ATTCCTGAGATGCCCCCTGAAGATGGCTGGGAGGAGCAGATGTGCCAGAAACTGTCAGAGGTAATGACTGAGCATGTTTGAATGTTCTTTAATAGGAGAGAACAAGCAGCTGGAACTACTTGATTTTTTATCCTTAAAGTAAAATTCCAGTATTCCATTATTAATTCCATTATCAACAAGAAAATAAGAAGCATATACAAATAATTCCAATAAATGAGTTCATTGTCTACAGATGTTCTCTGTGGTCCTTCAGTCACTGGAAGCAAAAAGCACAAAAAACGCAAGTCTAAGCAGTTTATACCTGACATCTAAAGATCTGCATTAATTCTCTTTGTGGACAAACAAGTTTAGTTTCCATTTTATACTATGTTACTGTAAAGCAAGTATGAGGAAGAAGGCATGAAAACTGTTGTGCGGGTCAAATGATTTTTACTCTGCATGTCTAGGCATTGTGCAGTGTTAATTTGACCTCCAGCCTGTGGGCTCACTGTGGACTTACCCGAAGGTCAAGCTGGGTCCCATTCAGTTGTTTACATTTAGGTTAAAAAGTTTCTGCTTCTTTCTTTTGGATAAAGTAATACTATTTTGTAAACACTGTGCTTTGATTTCTGTTGCTCTGTATGATTTGTTCTTAGTACCCAGTTCAGTTCAGCCTTGTATAAGATAAAAAATAAGAACGATATTCCTTCAGGTAAACATCACATTTATCTTGAGCTTATTTGGGTGTACATAGTGCATGTTGTTCTCTGTTGTTTGACAAAAAAACTGTATTAAAAACTGTAATATATCTGTATTAAAGGACAGATAGTTACACTATGGAAGGATGAATAAAAATGACACATACTGTACCACTTGTCTTGAGAAGTAATCTAGTCTAGACACTGCTGAAACATCATCAGCATGTTTCTACTAAAGGACATCAGTAAAGCATTGGCGTAGGGCTGGCCTACATTGCCTCAGTGGCATTCTGAGACTAATGCTACTCTGTAGCAATTCATCTGGGCTGCAGATTTTCAGACCAGTGTATTTACATATTCTTTAATTCTTCAAAACTCTGAAGAGAAAAATAGGTTTATTACATGATGTATGATATAATGACATGGATATGTGTGTCATAGTAGTACATGTAATTACATGTAATTCTTAAGCCGTTTTCCTTTATGTAGCCAAATGACCTTAAGGTAGCTGTTAGTGTAATCAGATATTCCATTTATGTAACATGTTTTATTTCATATGCCTTTACATTTATTCCTCAGGTACTGTTTCTGCATAGTTTATGATTTGAGTGGCCAACAGAAATAGTTTCTGGATAGGCTTTTCAAAGCTGAGTGGAGTCAAATGTACTGGTAAAAAATATGTTTTCCTATGTGAAATTCAACTCCTTTATCTTTGGAGTACAAAAAAATATTTTGACTGTTTGCAATGACCTTATGGATACTAGATATAAATGCATAATAATATAGATTATAAAATGAAATTGATATGAATATTTTAGACTGTTAATTCTAAGTGCTTAACAGTTTATGCTTTCCATTATTCCTTGTCCATTTTTTTACGTAGCCATTTTGAGATGCTAATCTGTCTCATCCTGAATGTTCCATTGGTTTAGTCCCATGGGTGTGTGGCAAGCCCTTCCATTCAATGGCATACACGTAAAGATCATTCAATCCTGCAGTGTTTTTCTCATTGTCTAGAGCCGATCCCGCGGTTCAAGGTTGAACATTATCATAGTTGCGGAAGGAGCCATTGACAGACATGGAAAAGCTATTACATCCAATTTAGTGAAGGATGTGAGTACCTCAATGTGCCAGGCAGCATCAGGTGAAAGGAAGTATGGAGCACAACTGCAAAATAGTCACATGCCCAGTGAGGAAGAACCAGCTCTTTTGAATAACTGAGAACCAATCTCAGTTTACAGTTTATGGGCTAATAAAATGAAGACAGAAATGTCACAGAAGAAAAGTGACCCCTGGGGCATGGCACTTTTTTAGCAGAAAGGTGATCCAACTTTTAAGAGCCTATGCAAAGATGTTTTTTTTTCTATCATGTGTTTTTTATCCTCTTAGAATCGTGCTCGAAAGAAAAGGCTGAATATCATTATTGTAGCAGAGGGGGCGATTGATTCTAGCAACAAACCAATTACCTCAGAACAAATTAAGGATGTAAGTACTTATCACCTAACAGTACAGCTCCTGCACTGACCACTGCCTTGTGTGCAAATCCTTTCTGTTTCACTGCTCACTCTGGAGTGCTCAAGTGTGCGCCTGGTAAGAAAGCTTCTGTCACTGCTTCCTGATTCCTGCATGTTGTTACATATGTTTTATTTTCTCTCAGTTTCTCCCATGAGAAAATGTTATTAAAAGCAGAGTATTTTCATTTTTATTTTGTATTTTAACATACTGTAGTTCAACAGAAGCTCCAAAACCATAGTTTTATGTATAATGTAATGTGCACAGCTGTTTTTCTATGTGAGCCATTCACTTTTTGTTACTACAGTACAACATAAACAGCTGTCGTGACACAATGTTAAGTTTTCTATTTCTCTGCACCTTGCATTATTCCGTGTGTCACGATCACATGTTTGCACATTCCGGTCCTGCAGGAGTTGAACTAGTGATGTGCACAGTACTTTGTCCTGCTTGTATCTTGCTATCATCTTCTTTCTCAAAAACTCTGCAATAGAAGGCCTTAGGTAAGAATCTGTAAATAAAAAACCCCTTAAAAAATATAATCTACCTCTTTTGCACTAACACAACAAGTTTCCTAAATTTTGCATGCATTTCTTTTCATACTTTCCTTGAACCTGCAGCTAAAAGCATCTTTAACTGGAGTGAATTATGAAAGTTCAGGAGAAAGACAACCCCCAAACTCTGCAACCACAGACCGTCTCTAGGGTATAAAAAGGGTGATTGTTTGCCAGTGTTTGCTATGCTAACAATTTAGTGCTATAGCCTGTACATAACCCTTTTGTACAGGTTTGTGTACAAAAAATATGAGATGGGTGGGTCTCACTTCACCAAGTAGTGATCTCTCATATCAAGCAAGTTAAAAGCAAACTTATAAACAAATGCACTTCATTTACAGTCACATTTATTTAGTCATATTATTGGGGCTTGTCAGTATCTCCTGAATTTTACCTAATTTCTGTCTTTGAAAGACCTTTGTAGAAAAGACCATTTCTAATGATTGATATGAGATTGCAAGCATAGAAATAAAATTGTGAGAACGTCTGAATTTGGAAAGATAAAATATCAGTATTATTATTTTTAGCCATTTATTTTTGTATTTCTAAACACACATAGTACCAGACACATTTGAATGAAGTCAGGGTGAAGAAGATTAGCAATGATTATTCAGTCTTTTCTGGTACCGAATATATCTTAAAAAGGATAATTGTTTATTCATATAAAATTAAGAGAAAATACATTTTGTTTTAGGCAGTATTTGTTTTATTTCTAGCATGTGCTACATATATGACCAACTTTAGAACTTTAATTTAAGTAATTACAATGTTGTTTGAAACTTTAAGTTGCTTTTTTAAACAAGAACAGTATTAAGCTGGTTCATACATACTGTAACGTACAGTATATCTGAATGACTGACACCATGTAAGCAATGGTGTACAGTAAATATAGCCCAGGTGTCAATAGATCTTAGAGTTGAGGAACTCTGCAACTACCGTTTCAACAGTTGGTCCTTTTGGGAGATAATTGGACCATTTGAAAATCATGGGAAAAGAAAGGAAAGAGCTATGAACTGCCTTAATTAAAAAAGGTGGTTTCAGCACTGATTCTGAAGCTGTTCAGCTGTAGCTACTTTGATTGGTTTAACATGCTCCTCTGTGTTTTAGGTGTTATATAATGAACAGTACCAGAAAGTGGGTTTTGTGCTATAGATACATTTATAGATAAACTCACCAGTGTGAGTTCAATGAAGTTGAATAGCTTACAGACATCACCCCAGCCTGGTGTCTGTTATGCTAACCAGTGGATGAACTAAGAGCTAATGACAAAATCCTTGACCTCCCCCACAGCTTGTTGTTAAATGTCTTGGGTTTGATACCCGAGTGACAATCCTGGGGCACGTCCAAAGAGGAGGAACCCCTTCTGCCTTCGACAGAATTCTGGTAAGTCTAAATGCTCACATCTGTCACACTGTCAGGGCAGTGCTCTAACATGGCTCCTCATGGGCCACAGAATATGTGGCCTGAACAAAAGGACAAGAACTTGCTATTCTGAGCAAAAGGATTCAATAAATGTTTTCAGTCTTAGCTTAGATTTTTTTTGCTTAATTGCAATCAATATTGTGTTTTATGTTTCTTGCCATTCAATTGGCTGTATTTAATAATATCTGAATATTGTAAAGCTAATCTGTTCTGTTTTAGTGACAGTAGTTTTGTTAAATCGTCACATGTAAGTTTGTTTTATATGTGAAATGAAGTAAAGTTGTAGACCTTTTTATTTTGTTCTCATGTCTTCCCTTCTAATTCTAGGCCAGCAGAATGGGTGTAGAGGCAGTGCTTGCGCTGTTAGAAGCATCGCCTGACACACCAGCCTGCGTTGTCTCTCTGTGTGGAAACCAGTCAGTTCGACTGCCGCTTATGGAGTGTGTACAGATGGTGAGTCTTGGACTGTAACCAGTTTGTCTTTGGGTACATTCATTACTTGTCGATAAAGGAGCCTGTGTGAGCTGCAGCTCTCAATAGACTGCCATGGTATGCAAACAGATAGTGAAAGTGGATTTGTATTTTATTCTTTTTCAAGTACTGGTTGAGTGTTCTTTGTGAATCATTTTATATAACACTTGACAGAATGGTACCTAAAACAAGTTAGATTGAGTGATTTCATACTCAACATTGACATTCTGGATTAACTGGGTGAGATAATATAACATGCTTTAATGCTGTAATGCTCTACAGTTACTAAAATGATTTTAATTTTACATCAGGTGATTCTATGAATCTTTCTATGATTTCTTTTGTTATACTGCTGCTGATTTCTAGATACAATTTAAATGAAGGGAAAATGTTAAAGCATCATTTGAAAAGATAAAGAGACAAGTTTGATGTGGTAAGGTTTTCATTTGCTGAATATTTAAAAAAGGATTTTTAGACAAGTGAGCCAACCTGCATGGAACACATCCAGGCTTTAGAATACACTTTTATGTCTTCAAAAAAGGCTTTTATTCAGACCGCATTTTAATACCATGTAATTTCAACTTGTGTAGAAAACTGGTAGATTATAAAACTGCTACACTCTGTAGAAATAAACACACAGTACATACATGTTCACTTCCCATGACTTCTTTCATACAGACCCAAGAGGTACAAAAAGCCATGGATGAGAAGAAGTTTGAGGAAGCTGTCAGACTACGTGGCAGGTACAGTACAGCCAGGGCCTGTGCTTTTAACCAGGCATTAATAACGGTTGCAGAAACTTTTCCTTTTCCCATGAAGATGATGTAACCACAGTCTGCTCAGAGGAGCGACTTAGAATAGGCCTACCCAAGTGAAAACAAAATCAGCACAGCATTTCGACAGCCTGCTTCCGTTTTGCTGTAAATGCATCTGTTGCGTTAGAAAATCTGTGCTCCTAACAAGCCCAAAATGTAGAGGCTTTCCCTATAGCAATGTAAACATCTACTGGTTGATATTTTATTCAAAAAAAAATAATTGTTTCAGTCCTTGGACATAATAAATATTTTGGAGAATAAATCTGTAAATGTAGTCAACTTAAGGTAATAGCTGCTGTGCCAGCTTTTAAATTCTACACATTGTTCTTACATTTGGGATGCTTGTTGCATTTAAAGAGTAACTTTGAGAAACAGTGAATTTTGTGGGTGTGTTTGTGTCACAATGAATGAAACCCATTGGTGTGTCACATTGTCAGGTTTATAACTCTTGAATGATTGAATGATTAACTTGTACTTCAAAGATGTTTTGATAACATCTTGGATCATTGTCCTTTGAACACACGCTTTTGTTACTGTTTTTCTTTTCAAGTGGCATATGCACTATGACAGTATTACAGTAAAGAAATATATTCTGCTTAAATATTGAAAAAATAATCCCCATACCTCTTACCATAGGTGGAGATACAGTTTGTCTTCCAAACTAGGGGTCTGTAATCCTGGAGAGCTTCTATCTAGTTCTTCTTATAGGTTATTTTAAATCACCTTTGTATATAAAGACTGGGAAGAATTGTTAAGGTCATTGATCAAATAAGCATGCAATTTGATCAATGAAAGTAAATCTAGTCCTTGAGAACTAAAGGCAATTCTGACTTTTTAAATTGCTGAATTGACCACACCACCTGTTTAATTGATCGTGATCTTTTGAAACTTATAATTTAAGTTTATTCGTAAATCCAGGCTTTAGACAGGGACTTTCTGAGCAAGGTTGGATTCCGCACTGAAAGATAACCAAGTAAAAACGTTTTAAACGAGTTTTGCAGTTTTAGAAGTTTAAAAAGTTAGTGGCCTGTATATTTTTAAATAGAAATTTACTAGACCTACAAAAACAATTTCCTATGGAAACAATAGGATTATATTAAAAGTTTTCTAATGTTTGATGTTTTAATCGGATTATGCTTTTATCATTCATTTGTCACAGGAGTTTTGAAAACAATTTAAATACTTACAAACTCCTGGCCCACCGGAAACCCCAGTCTGAACTTCCACATGTAAGTTAACAAAATGGATAAGAAAAAATGATCCAATTTTTCTTTCTTAATTAATGTTCAGTCTTTTTAAAAACATATGTATTTCTTGAACATTCTAACTCAACATTTGTATCTTTTCAGGATTTTCTTTAATTTTGTATTAAGGACTAGATACTTTGTGGAAACCATCAGCAGTTGTGCTTGACACAGTACATGTGTTTGTTGTGTCTTTTGAGTGTGTCTGTGAGACTAATAAAAGTGCAATGTTTTTGCTCTTTGTGCCTATCAGGATGACTCTGAATTTATAGTACGTACTAATTTGTACAATAGTTCAGCTTTAGATGCCAAATAGATTTTAGTTCATTTACAGTTAGCACTCCCCTGCATGGCCTAGAGACAGTAACCTGGCTGACATGTATTTTGAGCCTGCTGTGCTTATTTCCCTTTATCAGGAAACAGTGGGCTCTTGTTCAGAAAGCAGGAAAACCTATCACAGTTGCATTTATAGATACTGTACCTCTCTCTTTTTTCATTTCTATTGTCCAGCATCATTACTGGTACCGGTAAAAAGTGAAAGAGAGTTTGCTTATTTAATGATAAATGAATGTTGAAAGTACCTGACAGTTTTGATGATTATAAGCTTTTATTTTCATCTAGCACTTTTACAGTACCTGCACATTGTATAATTGCATGCTGCTCCTTTATTAACAAAACACAAAACATACATTGCATTTTGACCTACTTCAACATCAAGATGAATTGATTTGTTTATAATTTTAAGGCTTTATTGGTATTAATGGCCTTCTTGTTATATTGTGCAGATGCCATATTCATTATACTGATAGCAGTGTAGATTGACATTTGTTGGATAGTTTGAAAATATAATTTGTAGTCAATAATCTGTAATTCTTTGGTGAGAGACATAAGAAAAGAGTAAGTGCAGTGAACACAACCATATTGTGACTAACATTTTCTTTTAAAACATATATTTCATTTTTTAAGACTTCTTCCTATACATTTAATTGATCAATATGTATTTGTTGCTCACAGCTGTACAGTTATTAGAATGAAATTGATTGAATCCTTTGATAATGCCATTTTCCTCATTTACTCCCACTACAGAATAATTTAAATTTAAAACCACAGAAAGGACTTTTCAGTAAGAGTTTCACATTTTACAGGAAAAACAGTTACAATCTGAGCTGCCTTACGTTACCCACATAACATGCCAAAGCATTCTGGGAAGTGGCATGTTTTACGTTTATCAGCAGTACATATTTTCCAATACACTCTTAACACAACTAGAGCATGGTGCTGTGCACTTCAGCGGCATAGACCTCCCTTAGCAGAGACACCCTAATAAAGCAATGCTTGTGCAAGTTTAGCATGCTTGCATAAAAATGAAGTACTGTAGAGCCCTGCAATGCAACACGCTTCTCACTTTAAGGCATACTGAAGCTGATGCATTAAAAAAGCAAGATACTACTCACCTTATAAATATACAGTACTTGATTCTGAGCGCCATATGAATTAGTACTTAAGGATTTGCCCTTTATGTTTGTTGGTGGATTTAAAATATAAATTACTGTGAGAAATGTATAGAGTTATTTGAGACAGTTGCTTTGCTTTTTTTTCTTTGACAATCAAGATATTTTTGCCAATAAGTCAGTGTTAACAAATTGTTAACACTGTTTAGAATTGATTCTTGACCTTCCATTCAATTAATTGATGGCTGTATACTGTGTTAGTCCATTGCACCAGTTGCTTGTATGCACCAAGATACAGCTGAATCCACAGTAGAAGTAGCTGTAAAGTGCCTCATTGTGTTGCATGAGTGCTAAAAAAACTGAAGCCGTCTCGTCATCTCTAATAAATGTGAACAGCCCAACAAACAGCCTGAAACAGCTTAGACACATAGCATGTTGTCATGGCATGGATTATACAGGAACTATTCACACATGCAGTGGTCTTAGGTTAAAGTGCATTAATAGCAGGGGCTTCAAGTTCTGAGGGGAACAGCCTGAGAGATTGTAGAGTCTCCTTTGTAAGAAGCAATTGCAATGTTCCTATGGTGCTCAGGTCAAGTATTGTGTGTTTAGAGAGAAAACCCATCACTTTACCGTGTGACAGTGATATCCTGTTCTCTGCCTCTACCACCAGAGCAACTTTAATGTAGCCATCATGAATGTGGGTGCGCCTGCTGCGGGCATGAACGCCGCTGTCCGCTCCGCTGTGAGAGTGGGCATCACAGAGGGGCACAAGATGTTTGCCGTGAATGATGGATTTGAAGGATTTGCCAAGGGGCAGGTTTGTTTATTTTAGAAAAACTAAAGTTCAACCCCCAGCAGCAAATATGTGTGATAAAGAAGTCAGTATGGCGCTGGAGTCATAAAGTGATGCAATGCACTTGCTAATTTCTAGGTTTTAAAGGTAAGTAGTACTTCAGAAAGGGGCAGATTTTAGTTGAAGACTTCGATGGAAAAATGACTGATTTTGTTCAAAGATTGTTTTTGTAAACAAGTTTTGTAAATCCTGCAATATAATTATGATGATAATAATAATAATAATAATAATAATAATAATAATAATAATGTAATATCTCCATGCTAGTTCTGATGCCAGAGTTGTAGGCATGCAACCTTAGTTATAGTGTTACTGCAGAGCTAGTGTCCAGTGATAAGTGCAAGCAGTAAGATAAACAACAGAGATTACAGTAAGACAATTAGATTCAGCACGTTCCTGTTATGGTGTAGCCTAGGCTACAACATTCCTCTCTGACCTTACTGAACTGAGCATCAGGACGTTAAATATAGAACAGGGCACGGAGAGATAAGGCAGAAAGAGTATTCCTTAAATATCCAATAAGTCACAGATGTATTTGCATGTTTACAATACCAATTTGATATAGTGCATCAAATCCTTAGAATCCTTTTTCATACAATCTGTGGAAGCCTTTGTACAGTGTACAGTAAATCAAACAAGGCAAACGTGGTCAAAACAATATTAGACCAACTGTACAATATCAGTAACAAATATTAATAATAATAATGATTATAATAATAATGGGATTCCTTATAATGGATGTATTATTATAATACCTGCATATACAGTATATTTATAAATTATAATTTATAACCTGCATGTACAGTGCAGTGCAGAATATAATAATTTGTTAGTGACACACCTTTTTCATGATAATACATGAAAAAAAGAAATAATTATGTGACAGCTGTTATGAATTGCCTCTTCATAACATCTGTGAATGTTAGATGCTTATCTCAGTCTACATAGTAAAGTACAGTATTTCTTCCCTTCTGTTATTTTGCTTCTAGGGAAATAATTGGCATTCAGTATAATTTGTTACTTATTTTTTAATTATAAATGTTGATAGCTTCTATAGTTTTTTCTATAGTTATATGGTTGTCACAATCCATCTTTAAGCCAGGAAAAGCTGCTGGACTGTCTGGATGCATAAGACATTAAAATATTTCACTCAAAAACTGAATGATACATAAAGACTTTGCCAAGACTTGAAACCACAAATAACCACAATTTTCAGTTCAGGATTTCTTAGTCAAGAACCAAGGTGCTGGACATTTTCTACAATATGTCAGGTTTTAGTAGAGTTTCACTTGCTTCCCTCTATACTTGAATACAGTCCTGGCATTTCAGTTCTCGCTACTTCAGGTTGGAATTGTATCATCTGGGCTTGTAGAGAATACAGCAGGAAAAGTCCTGTTTCCATTTCTTCTATTTGGATAACTGCTTTGAGAGAGGTCAGTTCTACATTGCAAATTCTCATGTCTTCTGTGATAAGATTATGTATGAAAATTTCTTCCTATAACAAGTCCAATTTTATATGCCCTGTTTTATTCAGATTAAGGAGATCAAGTGGGGTGATGTTGGCGGGTGGACAGGCCAAGGTGGTTCTTTATTAGGAACAAAACGGTAAAGTTTATTGCTTTTATTCAGCACTAAGTGATGTTAGTTATTAATATGCAATTTATAGCTTTTTCATGTCGCCATGGTACTAATATATAAAGTGTACAAGTATTTTTATATCCCTCTTGGAATATGTTTAATAGAAAGAAAAACGTAAATTCATTTTGCAGATGTTATTTTCTGGCATTATACTGTATTTATCTCCATAGGAAAGATGCTTTCCTATTCTGTGAATCATTTTTACTGGGTGCTCCTTCTGCATCTTGTTTTATTTAAAGGCAAAAAAAAAAGTAATTGGAAAGAGGAGAATTAGATAGATGCTCTAATGTTGGTAGTAAATTTTTCTGGACTTGAATATTATAGTATAAAGGTTTTGTCCTGATGAGTCAAATTTCTTCTGATTAAAGAAAATAACCTTAGAACCTGATTTTACTTTGACAGCTGCCTATTATTGACACTACATAACAAAAGTATGACTGAAGTACTATATTGCACTTTTTTTTTAAATTTCAGAACCCTTCCCGCAAAGCATGTTGAGAAAATTGCAGAGCAAATGCGAGAACATAACATCAATGCTTTGCTCATTATTGGGGGATTTGAGGTATGCAAGTTAACTTTTTAAATTCCTTTTTAATGAAAAGAGAGAAATGTTTGACATTATTAAATAGAACATTTACAGAAATGTAAAATAAAAACTTGACTTGTTAGTTTTATAGTTATAATTTTGCTTTGTAGTGGCACTGATTAAAAAAAGAATTACTTATGTTTTAAAACTGTAAAACTTGTGGTAAATAAATGACGCTTACTGTATATGTGTAGAAAAAGTTGCTGCTACAACCATGTAATGATTAAGTTGGCAGATCAATTTCCTTGCTTTTTGCAGTTGTAGTTTTTAGTCTCTATCTTGAAAAGACGTCTGCTTGAAAATTGGATACAATGATATGTACAAATAATGCATCCCATGGTGATCAAAAATGGCTTAAACAAACCTGCTCTAAACTCCCCTTAAATTAAATAAACTGTATTGTATAATGTCTGATAAAAGTAATGTACTCAGATTACAGACTGACATTATATGTTTGTTTTCCAAGCTAATATAGAAGAGCTAGTCCATGGTTCATTTTCCAATTTTTCAGTGGTGCCAAATTCTAACTGTTGGTCTAACAAATAACACTTACATTAAAAAAAATGAAAAATGGACAAGCTCATTGTGTAGAAAATGAAGAAATTAACGCTAAGACAAAGTAAATAATGTCGGAATGTAGCTGTAATTAGTTATTCAATTCATTTCATACTTGTCTCTTTATATATGTGTGTTCTTTTTTATTTTTCCATTTGTTAGTTTGATTAAGTTTCCTTTCTTTGTACCCTGTGACTGCTGAGTGGTACCTCTGTGTGTCACCCTGTCCGTTGTGATAGGTGTGGTTCTTCCTCTGGCTCCTGTCATGTCTTTGCCACTAGCTCCAGTGATTCACACTGTGCCTGTCACATCACTGACTTGGCTCTGCCCTGCAGGCCTACCTGGGACTCATGGAACTGTTAACTGCCCGGGGAAAATATGACGAGTTCTGTGTCCCTATGGTTATGGTTCCTGCTACTGTCTCCAACAATGTACCGGGTTCAGATTTCAGCATTGGTGCAGATACAGCTCTGAACGCTATTACTGATGTAAGTCTGGCTGGGAGATTGCATATTAACACACCTCCACAGGAGCCAAATTGTGATCACTGACGCTGGTGCTTTTATTTATCAGCAAAACAATGAGCCCATTGTAAAACAAAATCATATCCAGCAATAGATGTCGGCTGTATTTGTAGAACTTCTACATAATTTAAAAAAAAAGAAGAAAGCTGATTAGGGGCTTAAGCAATAGTTAATATATTTCATGAGCCGTTTTGCATGCTGTTTTGATGCAATACACTTGATAAACATTAAGTGTTTTTAAGCAATATGTTTTCAAAAACATGTTAATGTTTATACTGTACATATTAATGTATAAACATGTTAATACAGATTTTGTATTTGATGTACAAGCATTTAATGTGTGGGTGCATCATCATACGGCTGTAGTGTCGCACTGTGATGTAGTTAATTACAGAGCAGCGCAAAGCAGGTGACAGAACTGATGTAGTGGTAATGAAAGACACTCTAGCCTTCTGAAGGCTGGCTCTTTGTAGCTGGTAGAGAAAAGCACAGCTGTTGGTGCCACAGGTAAGTAGCAGTGGAGGCATGCAGTGGAGTGGCATGGTCTGTCCCGCAGTTTTGTTCAGCCTGCACCTTACTGTGCTTGTTTTATAAATATGTGGTCATGTACAGACTAAAACAACATTTTGTTCTGCTTATTAACAGTTAACCCATGTGCACAAATTCATTTCCTCTCAGTAGATTTGTATTGTCTCTTCTGTAATTTTAATAACAGTAACACATTTTTTTTGCATGTGCAGCTGTACAGTATGTGGACAGTGGTGGCTTTTCATTTTTTCCAGTTTGCAAATTAAGTCAACTTGAATTGTCGTGGAGGGCAGCATTATTTTCCCATGAGCATGTAAAATATGAGCTTTCTGAGCTGCTTTTAATCCATTTCTTTAATAGCATCGGTCAAGTCAAGATTCTCATTCAGCCCGAAATTAAATTTATTTTTTAGATAATTCAATACATTTTACTGTATTTTACTGAGAAAAGTGTTGAATTTGAACTTGTAACATTTTCATTTAATTATAAACTTTCTGACCTTTATGAAGTGCTGTATTTTACCTGGCAATATGACCTACATCAACACATGGTTGGAACTGTACTGATGGTCCAAAAGGCCAGATGTGATCTCTTGATTATTAGTGATTATAACCGCTGTTCTGTTGTTACTATACTGTTTCTTTCTGCACATTGTTTTCAGGAAACAGTTGGTTACTATTGAGGTTATATTCTTGCATTTTCTTTTTGCAGTGATTTTTTTTTTCTTTTGATTTTTAAATTTGAAATAAGCAACACAATATATAATTGACCTAAATACTCTTAAATCAAAGATTTAAATATTAATCTGAATGAGAACCATCTGACACTTTAACAAACTAAAAATGAATGAAACTAAATGAATTACAAACATAACCTCTGTAGCTCTGTACTGTAAGTGAGCAGTGTCTAGAGTTCCAGTTGTGTTTTGTACAGTACCTTAACTGAGTCCAGCAAAATGTTGCCTTAACCTGTACTTGGCCACTGTTTGCTTTCCACACTTCTCTCTGTGTGTGGACATGACAGTAACCGCACTAAACCATGTCTGGCGTCTACTTGATTGGATATGAACGTGCCTGTCTGAGCCCGAGGCGCCATATTACAAAGCTTTCAAAAGTGTCTGCACCGCACATTTGGGACTTCTTTTCCTCTCTTGCCAATGGGAAGCCAAACCCCCTATCACACGGAAGGAGCCACAAGCAGGGTACACTTCTTAAAACAATTCTTAACAATCTAATGCATCTGTACTGCTGATTCAGGCATTTGAGTGTTTGCTGCAGCTTTATGAGGCACGATCCACCCACGAAGAGTTTTGCATCCCTCTGTGTATGCTGCCTGCTACCATTAGTAACAATGTGCCAGGCACTGATTTCAGTATTGGTGCCGACACTGCCCTCAATGCCATTGTGGAGGTAAGGGAGAATCTTTCAGTGTCTCAACATGAAGTGAAGTTCACTTTATTTCATTATAATGGACTGGACTGCTGTTCACAAACTGCTGTAAATTTACATTTTACAACACAATCCTATTCTACATGTCAGTTTTCTAAAGTAAGATTATTCTTCTTATTATTATTAAACTTTTTTCACAGTGATAGGAATGTTTAGGAATTTGATAGGAAACTCCTGTATGATAGGAATTTGGCCTTTTATTCAATTACGTACTCTACCAGATACATTATTTAAAAAATAACGGAGCAGATAAGTTTTAGGTATCATTATTTCAATGCACATTTGTATACAAATTTGTGTAATTTTTTTATTGTTGTGTATTATTCAGTATTAAAAAATAGATGTTGCTAAGGATTTGTTTAATCATGTTTGATATGCTTAATCTGAATATAGTGTTCAAACACACACAAGAGGAGTGCTGTGATCTGCAATTTTTTATCACTAGTAATCATTTTCTACAGAATGCTCATGACTTGTTGTGGGGCAAGTAAAAAAACATCTGATATCAAAATGATTCTGTCTCCAGAAACATAATTGCCTTTTAAAGAAAGTAGTATTTTTGTTCTCTGATCTCGTCAGACAATCAGAGTATCAGAATCTGCTTGAACGTTGTCCGTGTTGTCTAAGAAACATAAATATTGTTAAGACCGTCCCCCATTTAGTACTCCTCTATGTATTTAGAAAGGTGATGATGTTGTATCTTGATTATGCTCTTGCCTTTTTTAACACAAGGGTTGTGTTGTTAGCTTGGTTTTCTGGAAGAGATAGAGAAGAACATTCTGTCGGTAAACTTTTGCCGTGAGGCCCATTTAGTGTCTTTTTTAATTTCCCCCCAGTTCTGTGCTTTTTCCCCCGTAATGACTGAGTGTTTGTGTATCAGACCTGTGACCGCATCAAGCAGTCTGCTAGCGGGACGAAGCGCCGTGTGTTCATCATTGAGACCATGGGAGGATACTGTGGCTACCTGGCCAGTGTGGGGGGCCTGGCAGCTGGTGCTGACGCTGCCTACATTTTCGAGGAGCCGTTCGACATTCGGGACCTCCAGGTGTGTGTTATGGAGTTGTCGTGATAAAAGTCTGCATCAGTTGTGTTTTACACACCCAGCTTACTACATATTCACATCTGTTTTGTGGAGTATTAGGTTAATAACACAGTTCTAGATGACTAAGGACGGCAGGCATGTGGATGAAACTACAGGAGGAAAACAGCTTCCAAAAATCTTCTCAGTTTATAATTTGGCTGAATAATCGCCTTGGATTCTTGTTACAGAGATACTTTCCTTAAAAGATTCAGAACATATTTCCAGAGCTCTGCTGATCATGAAAGACAGGATTTTGCTCCATTCTGTAAACAAATGGATGGAAAGTATTTATTGGAATACCATACATTAGGATTAATTTCATTTGTACTTCTTTTTCATGGTTTAAAAACATTGCTTTCCGAGTTATTACTCCCCCTTCTGTTTTAAAAATTTACTGAACCCTCCATCTCATTTGTCATTGTTTTGTCTTCGCCTAACCCTCACAGCCTCATATCCATGCCACCTCCCCTATACTCTCACATACCCGAAGAAGGCAACACAGACGATGTGTGTTTTTTCACTTTATTTTTACTGGGATTCCATTATAGGACTACAGTGCAGTACAGTGAGACGTAACATTTAATTCAATTGTTTCTATTTTAAGGATAAGCTGGTGACAGAGATCCTCACGTGGGGTCAAGATATTTATAGTCAATGGTCCATTTATGCCTTGAATGTTAAGTTGTAGTCAAGATTACTGAAATACCTAAACTAGAACTGAAGTAAAGTACAATGACATAAGCACTTTTAATGTCTTATAATAGACTTGCTCATCAGTGATCTAACCAAAGAAAATTTTCTGTTTTGTTGTACACGGTATTGCAGTGATAACTCTTTTGTAGGCAAAGCTTGGGATGGCATATAAGATTTAGGTATCACAAACTTTACTGAAGTACAGTCCGTAATTACTGTTATGAATACTGTAAGTCTAATATCTGTATGTCAATTTAATTTAAAAAATGTTTTTTTAATTTTCAGGCTAATGTGGAGCATCTTACAGAAAAGATGAAAACTAGCATCCAGCGAGGTTTAGTGCTAAGGTAAATGAATCACCTAACCCAGTTTTTGTTATTTTAATAATGTTCAAACAATGTAAGAGCACACTAGCCTACAGTATGAGCTTAAATACCAAGACCTAAATGTCACTTACTGGCTGCTGAATCTACAAAGGATCTCTTAGGAGCAAGAACTTATCAATGATAGTCACTGTCTTCCAGTTAATAAGGGATTCTTCTATTTTAATTATTATTTTACTTTTTTAGAGGTGTTACCTATTTGATAGCTGAGGTTAAGTAACCATTACTATCCCAGTTAATTTTCCTTAATCTTCATTACGGCTCACTGGGATGAAATCAGTGTTCAGTAAGCCTTGAAACAAAAATATAGAATGATTACTAAATATAGCTTATTAAACATTTTTTCTAAAGGTAAACAAATTACTGAATATTATTCTGAAAGAAATGTGGCATTATTTTTTCACATTGACAAAATGCTAGAGTAACCTGAGTAAAGTCTTGTTTTAGGGTAAGTGCCACTCGTTTATGAGCTTTCGTAGCAAGATTTTAATTTATTTTAATCATTTTTCATTAGACTCTCAGTATGAAACTGCCAAATGTTGTGTTGCATTGTGGTATAAAGCAAATGTTATAGTGAGTTTGCTTCTCCAGGTTTCTCAGGAGCATTCGGTATTTACAATACCAATTTGGTGTAATGCTTGGTTTGCCTCAGCTCTTGATCTGTGAAAGTACGATGTGAGCTGTGATGGCTGTTCAAATATGGTGTCTATTTTTACAAGTTACACCAACACTCAGGAGAGCTGCTCATACACACAAACACACATGCGTGGTCACTAACATGTCAAAGAGCGAGTGAGCTCTTTTCACTATGAACCAATAGCAACAGTAGGAGAACAGACTGGATTCCCACAGCCAGCCCAGCTGAATCTAATCCATTCCAGTACAGTCTGCGTATCCTCTGGAGACTTCCCATTTCATTTAGGGCGATCAAGTGCAGATTACAGTTTTAATGATTTTTTTTATAATGGCATCTCCTTCTCCAAAAACGGGTTGACTATTCTTCTGTTTTAATTTGCAGAAATGAGAACTGCAATGAAAATTACACGACTGATTTCATTTATCAGTTGTATTCTGAGGAGGGAAGAGGTGTGTTTGACAGCAGGAAGAACGTGCTTGGTCACATGCAACAGGTAAACACAAAATATACATTGTATGGGACATAATTCCAAGTGGGATGGGAAGTATTTCTTTACCAGGACAACCTGGGTAATTCAGTAATTCAGCAATTATTTTTGGCTGATTCTTTTATTCAAAGAGATGCACGTTTATACCCATTTGTTAGAGAAATCTGAATTTTCCTTTCATATACTCATATTTATATGAGCCCGCTTGCAACTTAACCAATAGCGTTCTAGTTACAGGTTTAGGTCCCTAGTCATTACTCCATGACTTAATTTCAAACAGGATCCAATAATGTATGCAATTAGTGATTTTTGAAAAGCCATTGAAATCAAGATTTGTAATCTTCAAGTTGCCAGTGTAAAAAAAACATGTTCATCCAGTTCTTATTATAGCAGAAAATATTCTGAAGGACTTCGAACTGCAATAAAATCAGTATTGGAACCAATAGTAAAAATAGTCATTTGTTGTGTTTTTACAGCATATCAATATTGTTCACCAATGGTGTTCGCCATCATGATCTGAATAGATTGTTCTGATGCTTTTCAGGGAGGTGCACCTTCTCCATTTGACAGAAACTTTGGAACAAAGATATCAGCTAAAGCTATGCAGTGGATCTCTAAGAAACTCAAGGAGTCCTACAGACAAGGTACTGGGCTAACTGGAAGAGCTGTTAAACATCTCTTTTAGAAGCACTTTGCACATTAACCCGAATTTTGTCTTGCAATGAATGTGGTGTTTGCTGTACTGTCACTTCTGTCAAAATTCAGTCCTCGAGATTTGTGTTGCGTTTCAACGTTGTTGAGATGACTAAGCATATTGTATATAATGGTTCCACAATACAAATTTTTGGCATAGAAGGATGTAAGATGTCCTTTACAGTATGTACTGTATGTACCATTTGTATGTTTCTTTGACTTTCATGTGCTCTTAAACGAAGAGGCTTTTAGTTTTAATGCTAACCATTACAGTAAGCTTTCTTGTGCATTACAGAGAGCTGTAATGTTGCAGTAGTTAAATCTGCTTTTCCTTTTTTGTTGTTTTTTCCTGTTGCTGTCTGCATGGATTACATTAGATGAAGGTAAATCACTTGATTATTGATGTTGTCTTTGTGTTCACCCTAAGTGTTTTTACACTAACTGTGATGTTTTTAGATGCTGTTTGTATGGATGTTGTTGTATGTTGTTTGCATGGATTCATTGAAGATTTTTCTACTGCCAGATTCTAAAAAGATCATTTGTGGTATTAATATGTGATGAGGTCATTGTCAGTGTCGATGTAACTTGCAGCATTTTAAAAAATATAAAGCAAAAGTGTTGTGCTGAATTTCTGGAATTCTAGTATATTTCAGTGTTTTTTGTATAAATTATGCAACAACACCTACAGCAAGTGCCAAAGTGCCAAAACATTTTACATACTGTATACCTTACCCAAACAGGACTATTAGTCGTCAGTGGGCATACCTTGCCAGTCAGGATGCTCTGAATAAAGTTTTTCAGTTGGCTCAAAAAGTATATTCTCTGCTGTGCTTTCGTTGTTAAAGTGATGATTTTTATATCCCATTTAAGGATGTTAGACATTATAATTCCCAAATATCTAAAGGATCCACTGGATGCACAACAACACCACTGATTACCAGGGAGAGAGGTTTTGGAAAAGAGTATTTAGCCCCAGGTGGTTGTTAGTACACCATGATACAAACCAACTCACCTCCCTCCTGCACATGGTCTCATCATCATTAGTGAAGGGACCCACAGGGTGATGTTATCTGCAAACATAATTAGTTTGATAAAGGGTCATTGGAGGTGCAGTTGTTGGTGTACAAGGAAAATAATTACAGGGAAAGCACACATCCATGAGGTACACCAGTATTCATAGGCAGTCTGACAACTATACTAACTGTATCCATTGTGTTCTATCTGTGAGATAGTGTGATAGAGATCTGATAGATAGAAAGTGGAACATTGAACTGTAACAATCTGTTGTAAAGGAGTGACATCTCTTTTTGATATATTTTTTAAAATAATTTAAATACTTGAAATATGTTTTAGAACTAGCCTCTGTTTTTTGTGTTGCACAATTGGAAAGAAAGTGACCAATCCAAAGCAAGGTTAAACACCTTAAACGTGCCTCAATATCAAAGAAACACCTACTGTAGTTGGTGGGGATTATGACAGCAGCACTCTGCAATAGTTTATCTGATTAAGTTACTTAATAAAAAAATTATTATTACTATTGCCTGATTGGATGTTGGAATATATAGATTTATAAATTTAAGTAGACAGATGGTCCTTAACACTCACATACTATGATGCATCAAGTTATTTTTGCAAAGGGTAGGAAAATACACATGTAGAAAGGTGGCAGAAGCTCTTGGTGGTAATGTTTTGGGGACAGCCCATCTATTAGGTTATTTAGAATAGGAATACACAGGCAGTATGATGTATTTGTTCACAACACATGGCATGGACTGACCGCAGGTGACTTCACGTGCGTCCCTCAGGCCTCTTTGTACGGAAACTCTGTATTAGAATTCAAATAGTCAGAGCAGAGCTAGCCCTGATAAAGAGCAACCATTTGAAAAAGGCTTGATAACGTAACTTTCCATCATGGCATGGTGTTAAATAACAGTGCCCTTGCAGGGAGAGTCTTCGCCAACATGGAGGACACTGCCTGTCTGCTAGGAATGCGCCGTCGCGCCCTGATCTTCCAGCCCGTGATGCAGCTCAAGGAGGAGACCGACTTTGTGTAAGCTGCTGAGCTCTTAGAAAACACACTGTGCCTTTTTGTTGGGTTGATAATCTGAATATTCAGTTCGTTCTTAGCAAGTGTGTACATTTATAATGTTCTGGACCAGGCTTTTAAAGTCAGTATCTTTCTGTGTTGATCTTTGACAAAGATCTTCAAAACAGCATTAGCCAACTTTTATGCGGTTATGACTAGTATGACCTGTCCAGAGGATAGAGTTATAAGTGGGAAAAATGGTGGAATTAAACAGAAAAGGGCTGGAAAGAAACACCATTTCACCTATTGAGTGATTATTCTAAAGCATAAAAACTAATAATTACCATAAACCAATTATACAGTATACTTAAACTCTGTGACTGTGGGCACAAGCCCATTGGTAAAAATTGTGCAATATGGTAGGAATAATTTATTACCATTATTCCTACCTGGTAATAAATGTAATATTATTTTAACATTCAGGGGGTGGAGAGGAAAGTGAAACAATTTTAGAATGGACAGGTCAATACGTTTTATTGAGTTTCATTGCCTTGTCACTGTACAGGATCAGCAGTTCTGTGCAGACACTATAACAGGGTGTTTACAAAACATTCCTCACATTTGTGGAGCACTTTTCTTCTGAGAGAAGCGCTTCATCTACAACTGAAGTGCAGCAGCCACCTGGATGACGTGCAGCAGCCAGTCTGCCATTGCACAGCAGTGAAGTGAGAAACCACTTGAGGGGGAAATTAAGGGGTAAACATGGAGAGGCCACATTATAGAAACCCTGAGTGGAATTAGGATTAACTCCCCTTTCTTTACATGTAGTGCTATAGGATGTCTCATCCAAAGGACAGAATCTATGGCACAGTGCCCCTTAGTCCCCATACTGAGGCATTGTTTTGGAAATTATGGTCAAGGGGGAAACGTGTCACCTACTGATTCACCAACACCACTTAAAGCAGCAATCTGGTTTTCCTTAGGGGTCACCAGTCCAGGTATTGAAGCAGATTTCCTTAAGTAATGAGATGAAGATGTACAGTACCTGGGTTGGCCTGCCCTAGAGTTCACGGCCTGTAATAGGACCTTAACCTGGTGAACATACTGCTTCTTTGTGACATGAAAGTGGGCAATTGTTTGCTTAAACCTTTTTTTGTGTTTGGTCAACAGCCACAGAATTCCTAAGGAACAGTGGTGGTTAAAACTGCGCCCCCTGATGAAGATTTTGGCCAAGTACAAAACCAGCTACGATATCTCCGATTCTGGTCAACTGGAGCATGTGGTACGCAACAGGCCCAAAGAGTCAGAAGGAGCAGCTATCTGAAACAGCCATTTTAAATTTATTGTAGATTGGTTAGCATTGTGTGCAAGAGCGCTGAAGAAGCTTTGTCCTATTAATTATAACTGTATTGGCACTTTATGTCCCATTATAATGTAATTTCCTGTTATTTAAAAAAAATGATGTAGGAATACCAGAAACCAAAGTTGCTAAAACGGTCATTTGATCTTTTCTCACTCCAAAACTTTTATTTCACTGCCTGACAGTAAAGGAAAGCACCTGCTTTGTTCCAGCCACATATGTTGTGTTGTCACCACGTAATTGCACTGTGTTCCAAACCTGTGGTGTCTGTGTTACCCCTGAGAGTAGGCCATATAGTTCTGCTGCTGTGAAGTTGACAGATGTAATTGTGAGACCAATAAAAACAATAAATATACATATTGTTGCAAACAAAAGTTGTCATTTAAGACAGTCGGTGGACAGTGCACAGAACCACATTTCTCATCTGGTCCCCACTGGGAACAGGTTGCCTACAACTTACTACATGCATTTTGAAAAGCTGTCGAATAATCACTGGTACTGCTGCAACCATTTGTAATTCCGAAATTCAGTCTTGAAATAAATTTCTTAGTGAATCCAAACCAGTATGTTTACCTCCAGGATAAAACTGGTATATTTGCCTGCAGATCGATAAACACGTTTCACACTAATTTACCATGTAAACTAAGACTGGGCACACTAAGTCATTTTTAACTACCAAATTACAAATAATGTTATGTAGATCTGTAGATCTATTATGTAGTTATATCGTTTATAAACTCAACCAAGTATAATTTCAGTACAATTTTCAAGAAAAAGTGTTCATAGTATAGTTAGTGGCAAATCGATCTGTACTAAAAAATGTTGGGAAAACCCATCAAATTATCAAAACACCCAATTGTAATCATTATACAATCACTGGCTGAGGTCAAGATAGACCTGTAAGATAGATAGGAAAAGCTGTAAAATTGTAGGAAGGTAAAAAATTGTGTAATGTTGAGCATACTATTTTCTTTGAAAGTAAATACACACCTAGCCAAAAAGAAAACATGATTTTAAGTTAAGCGTTTATTGGGTAAACATTTCAATTATTTTAATAATTTACAGAAAAAAATATTCTAAAACTGTTACAAGAAACTCCTTGAATACATATTCTTTATATCCCTACCTGTTAAATATTCTGTTGCGCATGTGAATTTAGGTTGGTTTGCAGCAACTATTTGTGAAACATAATACTGTGTAAGTATTTTATCAGTCTTTCATGATGAACCTAGACTTTTTGGGACCTCACAATACAATATACAAATATAATTCACCATTAAAAAACTTCAGTGAAGTAACGGAATGTTATTGCTGTAATATTTCTGAACATTTTCTGTCAGTTGACACTTTTTATTACATAGAAACTCATGATCTTGATGGTTGTAATGGAAACTTATCTAACGACCCAGGATGGGTCCTTGTTGATTGTTTCATTTTCAGGTCCAAGGATTGCTATTCCATGTGTTCTCTGTCCAATTCCAAGATACCTGAAAATATAATAAAAGAGATCACATTTTCTTATTTTGTCTTAAAGGGCAAACCAAGTGCAATAATCAAATTTAACTTTATCCAACTGCAATTCAGAACATACTGTATTGTCATTCCATATTTGCATTAACCCAAAACACTGCAGTAAAGCTGCACTGCCAAACTCAAAACAGTCTCTCAGTGTAGCACTCTCTCAAGAGACACAAAATATGTTTCTAGCCAAGAAACAGCAATGAGGCAGTCTCCTAAATCAATAGGTGGTCAATGTTCTGCATTCAGAAACTGAATCATCAGTCCGATTCCGAACAATTTTTATTGTTACTGACCACATTTGGTGAGTTTCTGAACCTCCAACAACAATTATACTGCACACGGTGCAGTCAACACTAGTTGTCAGAACTCACCCCCCTTCCCCTTTACTGAAGGAGGAGACGGGGAGCTGCTACAAAGGCAAAGATGGAGAGAGGGAGGGATGAAAAACCAAAATTATTAATGCATATTACAATCAATTCATATATCTGACCACTTTTGTCCCATGTGTCAGTCCAAGATTAAAATATGAGTTTGTCCCCAGACTCTACATTACCTCACAAAGCATCAGTTTGTGCTGCACCTTCTTGTATTGAAGGAAAACACCTTTTCTGGCACAAGTGGTTAAACACAAAGGACTTGTTTTTCAGACATTTATGAGACACTGGGGAACATACAATTATAATACAGTACCAATATGTTCTGAACTGCTGTTTGTACTCATTTGTTTTGCACTAGTTTTCCAGTTTTCCCCTTTAACATACTACACTGCTCATTTCCTTGCTTTCACAGATAAAACAGTTAAGTCTATTTTGACTGTTTCTAAATACACAGGGGTGGGTACATACCCTTAACTATATACCCTATAAAAATCTTTAAAAATATACAGACCTGTTAGCCACATCAGTCAGGCTTTTGTGTGTAACAGCAAAGAGCTGTTCTCTGTGCTTCTGCTTCATCTCATCAGTGATGCCACACAGGAATCGATTCATACCTAAAACACAAAATTTACAAACATCTGAGCTGTTCTCCTAATCTGTCTCTCCTAGTATATCAGTAATTCACAATGCTGTCAGACCCAAATAAAAATTCTGTAGTTAAGACATTTCCAAAATCCTCAGCATTGGACATTTCACTAGCTGTCCTATAAACTTCTGTACTTCCACTTCACATCTCCAGAAAAGAAAAAAAAGATGGGAGAATAAAAACACTCAAATTTACTGCTTAGGATGAAGGACTGCAATAATCCAAGTGTCATGAACCTTAAGAATACACAGTAATGCTGTGCAATGTTTCCTGTCAGTTTGCTAACAACGCTGATCAGATTAGAAGCTTTCAGATAAACAAAATCAGGAAGTTTGACTGATATGTGATGCACAGTAGATAACCGGTACTGTATGGTTGATATACAAATGCCAATTCAGAAGGCTACATGAGGCTGTTAATGAAGCAGATTAAATTAAAGCTATTTTTACCTGTCAAGAAACATTATTTGTATGACATGTATGTTTTAAGATTTGGAGAATTTGCAGTCCCTCATTTTTTATTTTATTACACTTTGGCGAGAGCAGACTTTTTACCTTTGTCTGAAGGTGCTATAGGAGCATCGACAGCAGAAAAGACTGACAATGTCGCTTCATCAATGTCCTGTTGGGTGAATTTTCCCGCCTTTGCCCACTCTACTCCATTTCTGAAGGCAGCAAGTGTTTGCACAGAGTTTGGGTCCCTACAAATGATAAAGTTACTTGAATTAAAAAAATGCTTTCCTGTTCGTAAGCTCAGAACAGATGATTATCATTAAACATAAAAAAATTAATTATAACAATGTTTGGCATAGGATAAAATCTATTATTTCCTTTAAGAAGTGCATTTTAAAGTGATAAGTCATTAGACAGCAACTACTGAAAATAGGATTTGATAATAGGTTCAAATACAAGGTAACAAAAATTATGAAGTGTTTCACTTTAGTTTATTTTCAGTCATCTTTGTCCAAAATCTTTGTCATTGACTCCACAAGGGCCTTTGCAAGTTTTCCAAGTTCTCATTGTTCTTAATTAAGTTGGTTTTTTTTTCAAATTTAGGTTACATTTTCCTCTCCCTGTTTATATATTTTTGACTTTGAGGTATACAACTGCTAATATTTGTTGTGTTTTGCTCCTGTATACTGTATATACATATTTAAATTAAGCATCATCAGTAAATCATACCTGTATGAATAGAAGGCAAATAAACCTCCGTGACCCATCTTTGCACCCCCTCCATAAGACCCTCCTTTCTCTCGGATTTCTCCATGAAGGAACTTCGCCGTCATCAGCCGAGCAAGTATACAGAGACTGGGAACAAACAGGCTTTAGCTGTTAATCTACTCTCCCAATACATTATCATATAGTATCTTGAAAAATAACTGCTAGAACAGCCACTTTACTCAAAAATCAAAACTAGTAAGAGAGTTATTACATTTTTTCAACAAAACATTTTTCCACAACTAAAAGAACAAGAATTGTATACAAATGTGGTTAACAACAATTACTTTTGCTTTGATTTGACTGATGAAAGAATTTGGTGATAATTCCCGTTTTATGTGCTGTGGTATAATTTTACGGAGGTGTGTTTCACCTGGCATAGTCCTGGTGAGTATAAGGAACAGTTCGGACACATTCGCTCACGTGGTTCACAGGGAAGGGAAGCTGAAAATAGGTTTTCATCTGGCAGGGCTTGAAAGTTGGATCCTGCAAAGATGAAGTACGAAATACCCTCAGCTATTTTCATTTTATCATGCTATACATGAGAGTATTTTAAATTCATTATTAACTTGTAAATAAAACAAATTATTAATACAATTAAAACAAAAAGATGCATGACACTTTTTGCAGCTTGGATTTTGATATCGGAATTATCTTTAAAAACACTTGGGACAGAAAAGACAAAGTTTTTTTCATTTATAGTCAAGCAATTTGATAATGGTGAATATTAAGTACAATATTATATTCATATATAAAGTATGAATATAAAGTATTCAGATGCTTTCTATAATGTCCCATTGTGTAAAACATGCATATACCTTTTTTTACTCATATTTTAAACATGCTCAAACAGAAGACTTCTAAAGGTAAGATATTTACCAGTAGGTGTAAATAAAAACTAAACAAAAAACTGAAATATTGTCAATTACTTAACTATTCAGATCCATGAACTTAATATTTGGTGGAGGCATTTTTGGCAACCTTTACAGCCAGAAGTTTTTGCATAATCTCTACCAACTTCACACATCAGCTTCATGCAATCTTTGCCCATTCTTCCTGGCAGATTTGCTCTTCCAGATTATCAACAGGATTCAACTGAGGACACTGACCAGGCCACTCAAGGACATTCATTTTAAGGCACTCCGATGTAATTCAGAGACCTATGTTTTGGATCACTGCTCTGCTTGGAAGGTGAATGTTTCTCCAGTTCTAGGTTTTAAGCAGGTTTCAGTACTTTGCTCCACGGCAATTCACAGACGCCATGTAAGTGAAAGAGCAAATCTTTGGACTATGAGAGTAAACTGGATTACCCACGTGGACACGGGAAGAAGATGCCAGTCCTATACAGAAGGCATGATTAATGAACAAATTAATTCTTCGTTAGTACATGTGGTCCATGTGCCATTACTTACAGAAATAAGCTTTCTGCTAGCACCTGATCCAGAAGAGGGAGCCAAGGGGTCCAGAGCTTTCTGTAGAAAAACAAACATCAGAAATAGAGCCATCACTGACAAAGTTCTCTACTCATTGGTCACAGACAAAGGAAAACTAAGATTTTTGTTCAGACAGAAACAAACATTATACTTGCATAACTCTGAAGAGTGAACATCACTCTGAACATCACTTAACAACAACAAAACACCAAAAAAAGCTACATTAAATCAAAGGAGTGCCTCTTTTTTGGAATGACTTTGAAATGTAAACACCAGAAATTTTAAGGCATAGTACAAATTTGACAAAAGAAAACAGTATTGATCAGTGTTTACACTGAGGAATTAAGCTTTCAAAATTAACAACAGTGACAAAATCACTTGCGCAACTACAATGGTCTCCACAATGACCATTCTGGCCATCTTTAAATCAAAATGACAATTCTTTTATGGATTAAAATGGAATTAAAACCCTCGATAACAAGAGATAAACTATGTAATTTCCAAAATACAATGTAAGGTTAATAAATTATCTTTTAGTTAACCATTAAGTCAATTGACAAAAGATTCTTATTTACGTCGATGACAATTTACCACAGCAATCTGACAGAAGCACCCCTACCAAACCCTAAGTGATATGAGCCCATGACCCTCCTAACCTGTAACAATGCGTCTACATTCAAGTTCTTTTGACAGTTTTCCACTTACTTGAACGCAGTTGTAAGCACTTGCAAATTTAAACACAGAATTTAATATAAACAAGAACCCCCTTCTTGAACAAAGTTAAAATGTACTGTTATTAACACATTTTCAGATAAAACACAATACAGACTTTGGAAACCTGAAGACCAAGTAAACTTGAAATTTCTACCTCAATGACATTGGGTCGGACTGTTTTACGATCTTTCTTCTTTCTCTCAATAGTGCCCATGAGTTTCTCAACCTCCGTAGCTGCTTCCGACATCTTCTGTGGAGTGGCATTCACTGCACACCTGGCAAAGAGGCAGGACATCTCCTCATGTCACACAACAGGACCAGTACCCAGAAGTACAGGAACAGCAAAGAGAAAACGTTTGCTTTACAGTCAAGCTATTTATATTTGCCTACATGAAATTAAGATGAATAAGTGCAATATACTTTTTATTTGGGTAATGCCAATATATTTGACCATATTAGATTAAAATAACACTTTGTTTTATCCACTCATTTCAAGTGACCATAAAATAAGTACCAGAAGTTACATTCACTTTATGTAAACTTTCAAGAGTTTTTAAATCAAGTAATGAAGTTAACGATCTATTAAGCTCACCGGTCTGTGCAATCATTTGAGATATTTTACTGCAGCTATTGTGTTCTTCCCTATTCTTGGAGTGTTCTGATTTACTGTTTTATTCAGCATATAAGAAGAACATCCAATTGGATTTAAAGCTGGAGAGTGCCATTCTAGGATTTTCCGCTTTTTATCCTGATAAACTTCTTGACTGCACTGAATATTGTTATGGGCATTTTTTTCCATGCTTCATGATTTGCTCAAAAGTACAAAGACCAGTCAGAAATGTTTTGGAACAAAATTCTATAGACAGAACAGACCAAGCTAAACCTTTACCATAGTGATGGAAAGATTAAAGTATGGAGAAAGAAAATAATAATAATTAATAATTCCTTACTTATATGGTGCTTATCTGGACACTCCACTCAGAGGAAGAGAGCAGAAATATGAACCAATAATAATAAATATTATTAATAATATGTATTAATTGCTTACACTTATATAGCACTTTTCTGGACACACCACTCAAAGAGCTTTACAGGTAATGGGGACTCCACCACCACTAATGTGCAGCATCCACCTGGATGATGCGAAGGCAGCCATAGTGCGCCAGAACATTCACCACACATCAGCTATCAGTGGAGAGGAGAACAGAATGATGAAGTCAATTCGCAGATGGAGATAATAAGGAGGCCATGACTGGTAAAGGGCAGGGCGAAATTTGGCCAGGGCCCTTGATTTTTAATGACAACAGGGAGTCAGGACCTCACTTTTACGTCTCATCCAAAGGCTGACCACGTAAAGCTGCATCGTGTGAGAGTGAGTAAATTGCATGTCTACTGTATCTGAAATTAAGTTACCGGAAAATCTTAATTTCTACTTACCAATATTAGTACTCCAATAAATTCAGAACAAATCTGAAATATTTAGCTTCTCAAACAACAATAATTAGTGAATAACCTTAAAATTCAAGGTAATAATACTTAAGATCTCTAACACTATGTAAAGATAAATTATATTTCAATGTAGGAAATGAAATCTATGATTTATACCGGTAAATTGTGATTTTTAAGCACAAATTACAGGGGAGAGAAGGCAACAAGCATTTTGATTGATAATGCTTACAAACCCAGAAGTCACTTATACAGTACAACTTGTTACTTATAAAGTATGCCTTCTGATGTGTGAATGTTGTTAAAAACAAGTTGAGAGCGTATGGACAGCACTATGCCTGGGTCACTCATTATCCATCAACATGAGCACTTGTCCTCACCTCATATTCTCTGGGGAGAGAAGGTGTTTCTTAATTCTTGGCAGCTTGCGCAGTACTGCGGTGAGGTCTGCCATCTCTGTAATTCTCTTCATAAATTTTACCTTAAAAAGATTTATGGGTTTCTGTGAGTAGAGTGACTAATATTTCAATAAAACAGTTGTGCTCAATGAGCTAAAACTGGTATCTTAGCACGAACAATTACATTACAGGTTAATACAAGGAGCTGCATCAGTCTGTGAGCTGCAAAGGAACACAGAGAGCTTAATTCCACTCTGAAAAGAAAAAAAGATGTTTAATCTGTGAAAACTTCTTGGGTATGTGGGGAAAATGGAAAGAACAGGAATATGAGGATAAGGTGAACAAGAAAGAATGTAAAAATAGGTAAAATTTCAGGTGAAGAGTGATAGGATGAAATCTGTAAATATTTGGAGAGATTTCAAATATAGTCAATTTTGTGTTGAAGAGGAAGGAAAGGAAAAATTAGAAATGGATTCTGGTTGTGGAGATCCTCATTGGGTTTTCAAAGCTGTCAATGTCCTATGAAGAATATTCAAAAATTATAAGAGACTGCATTTAACCTCTCCTGTTTTCTTTTTTTTGTTTATGTAACAATAAATTTAAATTCCAAAACATGGTATGCAGTTTTTGTTCACTGACAGGCTCCTCACCCGAGCCAGAAACAGACCTCAGTACACCCTCAGGACAACTAAGGAAGAACCCAGAATGGGATTCCACAATTCCTTCTCTTCTGCCCCAACACCCTTTCTACTCATTCTCAGGGTCACCGAATAAATTCTTTCCATTTCACAGCGCTTACACTTTTTTACCAGACCCCCCACTTGCCTCACACCAGTGACCAACTCCCACCATAGTCTTCTTGTACATATATCAAGCTTCTTCAGAGTATCAGAGTAGCAGGGGAGCCAGAGCCTATCCCAGCAAACAGAGAGCACATGGCAGGGTATACCAGGGACAGTCCATCGGAGGACAGATACACAGACACACACACTGGCTCCTAGGGTCAATTTCCACAGAAGCCAATTAACCCACCAGTATGTTTTTGGATTCTGGAAAGGAACCGGAATATCTTGGGGAAACCCAGGTGCCCCAGATCTGGAATTGAATTCAGGACCCCAGCACTGCTAACCACTGTTAACGTACCACAAATGTATGAAAAATAACGAACTACTATTACAGATGACAAAATGCTTCATCTTGTCAAGAAACCATCCAAAGTATTTGGATGTTATATTTGAGCTATTTCTATACAGAATTCTGTTCATTATAATATTTATTGCCCTCTTTGAATTTTAGATGTTTTAATTGATTTTAATAAGGTCACAGAAGCTGACTGCATTCGTGCAGCAGTTCATTCTAGAGGTCTATGTGTGTTTAGCTGTCCTCACCTGGTGCATGCCATCAAATGTTTCCTGCAGTTCTCCAGCAGATGTTAGGGTCCTACCAGCTCTGATCATGGCATACAGGTGTCCAGAATAAGAAACTCCGTTAGAGAGCTCCTGAGCTGCCATCATTACCAGGACCCGTAAATGTTCTTCATTATCAAAGTGGGCACTGAAAGAGAAAGACCAGCTGGATGTGAACTTAAATTTCTTTACAGATAACTTGAAGGCAGTGATCAATGAAGCATACTGGTAGTTTCTTCCAAACCAGGGCACATTAATTTAAAAGCAAATTTAAAATGTTTATTCAGTAGTTCACTGTGGACCATACACCCAAACAAAATGACATAAGATGGACACTAGACAGACTGAGCAATAATATAAACCTCAAAACTGTAGGTTCTTTATGAAAATAGTTTAACCGTACCTTTGATAATTATGCAAATAATATGCAATTATAAAGGAACAAGTAAAGGTATATTCCATACTGAAAAGATAAGAAAGGAAACACAACTTTTCAGCTATGGAGCCTTCTTCCACAGCTGAAACGTTGTGTTTTCTTTCTTCTCTTTTCAGCACGGAATAAACCTTTTCTTCTTCCTTTACAATTGCATATTATTTGGATAATTATCAATTAGTAATTAGTAACGCACAACCATCACTTGTTCCTCTGCAGCCTACTTGAACTACATATGCAATTGTATATTCAAATAATAACTGTAAAAAATAATGTATTACAAAGAAAAGTATAAAGTAACCTGTTGAATATATCACCCCAGAGATTCAGCATATCAGGAAGGTTTCTCTCCAAGCACAAAGAAGTGAGAAGAATTCCCTGGAAAGCAGGGTGAAAAACAAGATCACAAAAGGTCAAGTGTTTAAAACCAGTACATGGCCAGGTTGACATTTTTAAAACATCAAGTAGATAGCTGCATCAGCATGCGAAGGCTGCAAAGGAACAAGTAAAGGTTTATTCCATGCTGAAAAAAGAAAAGAAACAACGTTTCTGCTGCGGAGCCTCCACACCTGAAGAAGGCTCCACAGCCAAAAGGTTGTGTTTCTTTCTTGTCTTTTCAGAATGGAATAAACCTTTACGTATTTCTTTGCAGCCAATGCATGCTGACGCAGCTACCTACTAGAACTACTTCAGCTTACTTCTGCTGCAACCCACTGTGCCTTCCTCTAAATCTTTTTCTAGATCTCTTCGTCGTTCCTTCTCCTCTTCCCTGTGCTACTTGCCCTCACAGCGATCTGTTCCAAGACCAGGCTTTCTAATCTAATCACCTCCTATTACTTTACAGATGTCATCACATGCGAAGAAAGCTCCACAGCCAAAACGTTATGTTTCTTTTATTCTCTTTTCAACAAAGAATAAACCTTCACTCGTTCCATTTTTAAAACATCTCTACTTGTGAAGTAATGTAGAAGTGTGATTCCAAAGGTGATGTGTGGACTGATGTGTGATGGACTGTATTTTTCCAAATACCTGCTCATACATATCTAGGTCAGTGCAGTCAGGGATAACTTGTGGAGTAACAGACATTCCCCCAGTCTTCAGTTCAATTTGCTGAGCCTGTTGTCTATAGTCCAGAGCACCACAACCCATTCTGAAAGGAATGAGAAAACAATCAGATTGCTTCCTATGCATAAAATTAAATTTTCATACAACTCTACATTATTACTGATTGTGAAAACCTATACAACACAAGCAAAGTTTCTCAACTTTTCATGAATTGAAATGGCTTTGTACTAATGTAATAATGTACTTTGCACCGCATCCATAAGTGTTGAGAAATAAAATTTATCTGGAAATAGGATTTAAATATCAATCCTTTGCAACCAGCAATTAAAAGGTTAGAAGAATGTAAAAGTAAAGAATATAGGTATACTTTAATATGGAATGGATATCTTTCAACAGGTTTGTAAAAAAGAGCAGAAAACAGTCTCAAGGTTCAGAGTCCCATTTTGGGCCAGAGCCAAAAAACCACAAAGGATATATAGGTGTACAGAGACTAAACAGCTCACTAAAGTAATGAGAAAGTAGACCAAAAGCTCATAAAAGGTTAACATCAGTTATTGTGAATTTTATTCTGAAACTCAAATGAAACCACTGCAAGTAACCTAAAACAGGAGACTAATGCTCATGCATGTAAATATTAATTATGATTAGAGTAGATGAGTCCTATTCACGTTACACTCTTAGGATGCACCTTAATACATTTGACACATCAGCAGACACTACATTACAATACTCAAACCTAGAAAAGACAAAAGGATGCATGAACTTTTCTGCATGAGACTGGGAAATACGAATGCATACAAGTAATGTTACAGAGATGGAATGGATGGATTCAATTTCAACTGTATTTTGATGGTTCCAAGACCATCAAGGCAAATAAGGTAGATGCAGTTTTGGAGTTTGCAAGGAAACACAATCAGTGTAACATTGACCTTGTCAAGAGTTAAGATGTGAAACATTTTGTTGAATCCAATATAATCTAAGCATCTGAGGCAGATAGTGCTAAATTAATATAAGGGTTCATTAAATATAAATTTGGGTGTCAACAGCATACAGCAGAAATGAAAATAACGCCATACCTACAAAGATTCAAAACAAACGGTAAAATACAGATACTAAAAATAATGGGTTCTCATCAATGAGAAAATGGCCAATTTTATCAATGATCTATCAATGAGATTCTCTACTCTACTATTTAGAACCTCAACATTGTATGATGAGTTTCAGTACCATGTGAACCCAGCTTGAAATTGTTCATACAATGTGTCTGAATTGAGTTTGCAACTGGACAGCAAGCCTGTTCAAGTCGGCTTGCCAAAAATATTATATAACAAGCTGGATGTTAATTATTGAGCAATTAAGTATTATTGTGGATACATTTCAATTTAAGACTTCTTTAACAGATAAGAACTGTTTGTTTAAAGGTCAATCTTGATCTGGATTCGCTAATGACATGCTTAACAGTGAAATGGACAATTAAACTGGAAATAGGATCCAAGGAACATGTACTGGATTTGTTTGTAGTGATAATTTCAGATAAACTAATCTCCAAAGTACTAAGTACTCTCAGAAGTGGAATCATGAAATACTATCCTACCTCTGATATGGAAAAATACATTAGTAAATAAAATATAGTGTCTAAATTAAGAACATCATCATCATCATCATCACCATCACCACAGCTTCACATTTAGCATACAACCTTGCGTGTATATATAGAAATATAAGTGTTTTATACTGTAATTGTTTTATTTCCCACACTTACTTAGTAATGACATTGCAGAAGAGAGGGACATAAATTTTGAGATCCTCAGGAAGGGTGTTGAGGCTGCACATTGCCCTGAAATACACCATGCCATTGGTAGGCTGGGCACAGTACTGCACTGGAACCTCACCTGCAGGAGTAATGTTACACCAGAAGTTTTAATATATGATAAATTACTGTCTGAAACTATATCAATGTGGAATATATTAATCAATATTTAGATTTGTTGTAGACTTTAAAAATGTCTAGTTATCAGACAGAGAATACATTTTCTTTAGATTTTCAAAAATGAGATTTTCTGTTCATATACAGTACATGTCTCACTGAGGTTTTGTCCTCAAAGATTTACCTGCACTTCCCATCTCTACAGGAGTCACTGGGATGGTTGGCTGAATGTCAGATACTTTCAAACTGGGAAGGCAAGATGCATCTTGTGAAGTACTCTGAAGAGATAACAACTGCAAACCTGGGAGAATAAAATACTGTATGAACTGCAAAGCGTGAGATATACCTAATCAGTATCACAATGAAATAGGAGTGGCAACATTCAGTCACTTAAAAGCCATTATAATACAATATACAATTTGAATGGTTAAATAGTAAAACAACTTTTTACCAAATGTAAAGGAACTGCCATTGCTTTGAATCTCATGAAAGTACTTATAAAAAACTGTATTATTGTTACAAACTGAACACATCTCTACTTACAAACTGAATACATCTCTACTTTCATATAATAACCAAATAAACTGTTGGCCTGTACTTAGACATTCAGCAGCAAATTCCTTACCCTTTTCATATATGTCCTTCTTGTCACTCTCAGACAGTCTCTCCACCTTTTGCTGTAGTTTTTCTTCCTCAGCTTTAGCCTGCTTTTCAAAGTACAACTCATCTGGACTCATGGATAGTGTCAGGTTGTGTGTATTGTCCTGAGGGGGGGAATTAGACAAGGTCACAGACAAGGTTTTACAAGGTCACAGCAGAGGCACATTGTTCTGAAATATCTAATTAACAATACCTTAAGTGGTCAAAATGTTGACTTCTGCAAATCTGACACGATATAAAATAGAAGGAGGCTACTCAACACATCTTTTTGTTTGGTTGCTAGTAAGCATATCCAGACGTTTCTTGAAAGAAGGCAGTGTATCAGCGTCAACAACATGGCTGGGTAACTTCAGGCAAAAAATGGTAGCTAACTGCTCCATGGATCCCCTCCTTCAGTGTCTTGAAGTAACATATTGCATCTGCTTCAATAACACTGCTGGACAACAGTAGAAGCTAGTAGAAGTAGCTAGTGTAACAGAAATAAGAAAAAGTATTACCTTGAAGTATTGTTTTACTTTTTGCTGAAGAAAGTGAGGATTATCCTTTAGGCATTGTCTAAATCTGGACACTTGGTCACTGATTTTTAAGACTACCACTGGGTCTCCATCATGATTCCAAGACGTAGCAATAAACTGAATTGTAAATAAGGGAAAAAGAAAAGAAAAAGAAATAAACAACACCCTTTAAAAATACTGCTACAATAAACGACTATAAAATGCAAACTGTCATCTACTGCTTTTATGTTTTCGTAAACCAGTGTAATTATGATAGGCCTCTCTCTACAGTGTCCTATAAACCACAGCTATAGGGTTACTTAAGTCTGTAAAGTTTAGGTCAGGCAGATAACCTTTCACTTACATATTTTTACTTCCACCATCCACACCCTTACAACAGTCAAATTACACTCATTCAACAATTAACACCCAAGATAATTACTTACTGAAGCCAGAGCCAGTCCAAAACTAGTGGACTGATGCTTCATCTGGATTTCAATTTTATGAAGAAGGGCTTCTATTCTTTCCTCCTCAAATCCATTGCTTAGCATTGAAATGGAAAGAAAAACATGACAGCATTCATGTAAGTAAACGTTTTATGTGAGATAATGGCTTACAAGTTTATTTAAATAGAGTGGTATATCTTACTTACTCTATGATCTCATTGAATGTTTGGCTGATTATTTGTCTAACTTTTTCAATGTCTTTTTCAGCAATTCCCTGCAATCCTACACTGAAGGAGGCCTCCTTAGTGCTTCCATTATATCTGAAAGGGAAAAAAGTATATATTGCATAAGCTCAGATCCTATAGGTTTTGGAATACCACTATGATAAAATTAAAACCAAAATTTTATAATAAATACACAGCAATACCTGCAAATATATGTATATGAAATGTTTTTATACATTATGTACAGTATACAGTAAGTATTTTTTACATAAACTAATATGCCCTAATAATCCCCATCTATGAATTGGCTTCATTACTCTGCTCTCCCCACTGATAGCTGATGTGTGGTGAGTGTTCTGGTGCACTATGGCTGCCGTCGCATCATCCAGGTGGATGCTGCTCATTGGTGGTGGTGGAGGGGTGTCCCCATTAGCTGTAAAGCACTTTGAGTGGTGTGTCCAGAAAAGCGCTATATAAGTGTAAGAAATTAATAAATATTCTTAAGAACTATTATTATTATTGGTTCATATTTCTGCTCTCTTCCTCTGAGTGGAGTGTCCAGATAAGCACTATATAAGTAAGGAATTATTAATTATTATTATTTTCTTTCTCCATACTTTAATCTTTCCATCACTATGGTAAAGGTTTAGCTTGGTCTGTTCTGTCTATAGAATTTTGTTCCAAGAATAGGGAAGAACACAGTAGCTGCAGTAAAATATCTCAAATGATTGCACAGACCGGTGAGCTTAATAGATCATTTCATGCAGTCATTACCTCAACTTCATTACTTGATATTAAAACTCTCGAAAGCTTACATAAAGTGAATGTAACTTCTGGTACTTATTTTATGATCACTTGAAATGAGTGGATTAAACAAAGTGTTATTTCAATCTAATCTAATATGTAAACCAAGGAGCCAAACACCGCTTTACCACTGTTTTTTTACCTCTACAAAATTTATAAAGACTCACTCCATTACTATGCTTACTTCCACAAAAGGCATGTATTACTGATGTTTCTTCTATTATTTATTGTTCAGATAGAATTGTAACACTGCAAAATAAAATATGCTTGTTAGTATTGACTACTCTACTCCTTGTACACTGCATCTCCAACAACTCTTCCTTCAAACAAATTGTGCAGATAACATCGCCCTTGTAGGTCTCATAACTAATGAGGATGAAACCTGCAACACACTTTGAAAAAATTAAAAAACAAAGCTCACTACACATCACTTTTTCAGAAGTTTAAAATAAAAAATAATTTTAACTGTCGTATTCATGATGAAAATCTGGATAAAAAGAACATTTGTTGGATTTTGTATTGCTATTTATTAGTCTCATGTTTAAAATAATTTGATATAATTTTTTTTTTTTTTTACACACACTTGACAACACTCCAGTGTGCAGCAGCACGGTGGTTGGGAAATTTAAGTCTTCACTGTGCCACCTGACAGTGTTATAGAGCAGTGTAGTCCTGCATTTGATAATATGGAAAAAATAAGACTACCACGATGACCATGGCTACCTGCCTACAGACACCTTGTTTTCAAGAAGGCTGCATGTACCAAGCCAATTGAAGCTGACACCACTGATTCAGGAATCACTGGATAAAATCTTTAGATCAATAATCTACTAACAAGATGGATGGGCTAAATGGCCCGTTCTTGTTTGCATACTCTTGGTTTAGCACTGAAGCACTTGAGAGCAGGCCATTAACATACATTCCGATACAAATTGTGATTTAAACAATACAAATTCTTGTAGACCATTGAAAAATGTAAATAGGATTATAATATTAGGAAATTATTATTCTGAATGTCTGGTTGTCATTAAAGTGTTATGTGTGATCTCCTGGAAATTAAGTAGACTACTTTTAAACATACAATGCATACAGAATCGTGTTCCACATTGTCTGACATATTCATTTTGAATATTATTTTTAGCATACCCCACAACAGGAGAGAAATGTGTTCCAAACTTCGGCTCAATTAGGGCTTTGTAGAATGGCGAGTTGGGTCCAGAAACCATCAGGGAAGACAGAAGATTCAATGTAAAAGCTTCAAAGGTATCTGTAATGCTAAACATTATAATTCCTCATTACTTACACTTATAATTGATATCCAGCAAAGACAAAACCTTATAACCTGAAATAATAATGATAAATTATCATTACTATTTGATGATAAATGAGGGGGGGCTTTACAGTGAAGTCATTTGTATTTTAAACAATTTCAGTTTTTATTTTGGGTAATTCCATAGCTGATTTGGTTCATCTTTGCTTATGAAGTAACCACTGATGGCCACTGCAGAATGAATTCTAAAGTTTGCGGAACCTTTTTTTATGCTTATGTAGGAGAAAATGTTACCAAACCTATTGAGTAGCTTGGTAATGATCCAAGGCATACAGTACAGCCAAGGTAACCTAGGAATTCACCATGAGAACAAACTAAAAAATCTTAGGTCAAACGTACAGATTTCAATACAAATGAGCATGTAAAATACATGCTCAAGTCAGAACACCCCAAGAAGGGGGAAGAACTTGGTGTGGCTAAAGCAAAGGCTTGGCAAAGCATCCCAAATATTGCACAAAGTTTTGGGAGCTCAGTGGATCAGACTTCATACATTTATTGCCTCAAAAGAACATGCAACAAAATACTGACTTTTTTACATTCGGAAATGTACTGCACTTAATGTGAATGAGTACACTTATGTGTCAGTTATGGTCATATGAAATCCCTGGATTGAAAACAAAGTATGTTTTTTTTATTCTAAAATAATCAAATGCATGCAATTAATTAATCAAAAATAAAATGTATATAACACTGTAATTAACATTCATATTAATCTCATGATCACAAATATAAATTGCTTAACTGAAAAAATAAGTTTTGACCTTGCAGTCTCACTACTTTTGGAAGGCACTGTATGTTGCAGTTGCATGTCATTTCTCATTTTCTCAGGCACAGTAGCGAGCAAATGTATTCATAAACTGTAAAAATGATCTGTAGCATGTAAACCAATATTCCATATTGATGTACTGTATATCTAGGTTAGCATAAAAATGGAAATCAACATTCAATGAGTCTTTTATACAGAACCTCTTCCTTGGCCCCAGGTTATGCAGTCTAAGATTTTATTAGGTTATATATAAATTTTTTAGTATATAATGTGAAAACTCATCAATAACACCAATGTTTATGTTTGCTTAACCTTTCGATCATTAAGTCTGATGCAGGCTTTATATTGTTATCCAAGTGTAAAGCTGATTTGTCACGAAGCCTGAGCTTTGCAACAGAAGGTAGCAGTTCGTGGCTAAAGTTTTCCTATCAGTTTTCATTTACCTCTATACAGACGAGTCTCTTGAAACCCACATTTCACTTTGATGTGCTATTGGCTGTTACGTCACACTTTCCATTCTGTCTACGTTAGGAAATCTTCTTACTAAAAAGAATAGCTCATGCTTTGTGTAGACTTGTGTACCACAGAGATGTACAAGTGTACATCCTCATCGACTTACTCTCCCAGGAGGAAGCTCACACACACAGTGCTCTGTTTGGTAGGATCAGGAGCTAGGGCATCCACGCCACATGTCACATGGTCCTCCCTCTACAAAAAGAGGAAAGGATCGTCAATGAAGTGGAAGCTGGACAAAAAGTGGACAGAAGACAAAAACGAAGGACGACTGATGACTAATGTAAAAACAATGTAAAATACATCTGATGTACAAAATTATAGGTAGCCATCTGTGTCTTTACGAAGTCAAAACCCAGCAGGCTTTATTGGTCACCCTTAAATCGTCAATTCCTGAATACTTGCAACAATTTTGTTCTCACCTCTTAAGCGAATGAATATTTCAATTAGACTGCCTAAAGATCATTTGTAATGAAAATATCTATACCCTAACCTAACTTACTGAATTGAACAAAATTCATGTCTTTGTAAATTTTTTTACTATACTATAAAATCTACTACACTGTACTCTTGAAGACTAGGATGGCCAACCCTTCATTTAATTATGTGGATGTGTTATACAACTTTCTGTGTATTCGTAGGTGTAATAGTAAGCTAAAAAAACAGAATATAACTGCTGCCTATAGGAATTTCATCTAGTCCTTCACTGTTCTGTTGGCCTTTGATTTTATCAATTCAAATTGATATTAGGAAAGATAAGCCAGGAGCTACGTCAAAACATAACTTCTTGGAATCATATTGTTGACCAATACCATAACGTTTTAGACATTTATATCTACTCACTACTTCTTTTTTTAATAATGATGATACAGCTAAAGCTGATGGACTCACCGAATTGTTCCAGCGAGGCTGTGGAGGGACAGCAGTGTTTGGCTCAGTACGCTGAAATCTGGAGAGTGCCTCCTCATGAATTTGTTTTAAGTGCTGCTCCAGAGGCAGATCTCCATAGGTGAAAAACCTGAGTGATACATACAACCAAAACCTTCGTAATTAATTAAAATACTTTTAACAAAAATCTGTACACACTGGGTCCTTCATATATAGTACAAAAACATGTAATGGTCTGATTAAACCTGTGAAGCATTTTATTTCACTGAAACCATTTAACAATGCAATTTTTGGTTCTGATTTCTTCAAAGCTTTAACATTTTAAAAATGTTTTTCTAAAGATAAGATTCCAATAATAACAATTACCTTGCATTGCTTGGATGATAGTGTGTTGCATGGAACTGTTTCAACTGCTCCCAAGAAAGGTCAAGGATGGCCAGTGGCTCCCCACCGGAGACCACCGAGTAAGTGTGGTCAGGGAAGAGCTTATTTTGGAGGTGCTGAGCATACAGACTCTCATTATCTGACTTGAAAGGAAAAGTATATTTTAATTTACACTCTTGGATACACTCTGCTTCCACATGGTGCGTATTAAATGTACAACAAAACAGCAATTATAGACTTTAGTTAATATGTACAGATAAAGGATTTTCAATTTTTTATAGAAAATATTTTAAGATGTCATCATTTTAAAAGCAACAGCATTTACAGAATACTAGAGAGAAGTACAGTTACTATTTATAGTGGATTGTTTTTTCTTTGCCAATGCTATTGGAACAATTTCACAAATGGATTTGAGACAGTTCATATTACTATTATTTTTCAGGAAATTAATTACACGTGTACATTATAAATAATTATAAAATAAAACTGGAAGGAAGATTAATTTTTCATGTAGGATGTTTTGAATAAAAATACAAAAAAGAATATGTTGCCAAAGAGAAAACACAAAAAGTACAATGAACTATAACTTACAAATGCACCCTTCATTTCATTAAAAACCACTCCTTTAAAAACTAAATGAGACTTTGGATCTGTGGGATTTTCATTTTCAAGTCTCCAGCCTTCTTGCCTGTTAAAAATAATATTAAAATAAATAACATTATATATGGTACCTCTACAATTAAAACATAAAACAACAATATTGCAATTTTATAATGTATTACTGCTGACTCAAAACAGAAGTAAAGCCTGTATAAAACTGAAAAAAATCACAGATTCTAGTGAGCTCTTCATTATTTAAAAGGACATCCGTGAAACACATACCAAAAATCCAGTTCTCGAAGTTGAGGGAAAAATACAGCATCCAGATACACAGAAAGGAGATTCTGAAAGTCTTTGCTATTTTGTGTGGAAAATGGATACATCGTGTAATCACTAGCTGAAAAAGAAAAACAGACACCACGAGTACTGTAAACATGATCACTCACATCCATGGTCTTTACTTACACACCTAGACTGACCCAATTTCAAAAGGACAATTAGATCACTGAGTAAATGAAAATGCCCTATGTTCTAGCCCCAAATAGCATTCAAGTCAGATATGAATGGTAAGGATGTATTATTTTTTAATTGTGGAGAAATGAGTTTCAACCACTGGCAAATCACATGATAATAATAAAATAAGTTTTTCCTGCAAATACGGGTTTAAAAAAACCTGTTGTATCTGTTGTGCATCCATACTTCCATTCACACTACAAACCTGTGAAAGCATTCATGAATGTGGACAAAGATCGGTTCAGCATTTTGAAGAAGGGATCCCTGCAGGGGTATTTCTCAGAGCCACATAGTACTGTGTGCTCTAGAATATGGGGCACACCAGTGCTGTCCATTGGTGTTGTCCTAAACTGAACACTGTGAAAGACAATTCAATGATTATGACTTAAATCACTGACAGAAATGCATAAAAATAAGGCGATTTACATTCATTGTGCAAAACAAGACAGAAATTCTGAGATGAAAAACTGAAGAACATAATTGCATAATGCTGTACAAAAGCAGGATTGAAGGCTGAAAAAAGAAAACCACCTTATTTTTTCCTTTGGATACACCAGAACAAGGCTACAGACCTGAATTAGTTTCTGCTTTGAACTTTTCTCTGTGTAATTGATCTAATCTTTTTCCTTTATACCTCACATGCTGATGAAGCTTCATGCTAATTTGTTTTTAAATACAAGTTAAATTACTAAGTAAGGCCTCGATTAAAAAAAAGCAATTAGATCCACAGACCCTAAATTAATTACAACACCTGCACTTGATTGCAGGTTTCTAATGTCAAATCGTCAAACAATAGACTAGGCACTGAAATTCATGGACAGGTCAAAGATTTAATTTAAACTAAATTCTAACTACATACTTTTCTACAATCTCCTTTCTTCCCTCTAATATTTTCTACAGTACAACTTTTACCTGAAAAGATTGTTGGAGTCATCTCTTGCTACATGAAGGTACTGAGCTCCAGTATCGTCATGGGTCAGTTTGACAGCAGTGAGAAACAAGTCAGGAACGGCTGTTACCTACAGTATTAGACAGACAATTGAGATGACAGGCCAAAACCACATGAATTAATCTAATATGACAAGACAGAAAATACACTATTAATTGTGCAGGTTATCCTTCTTAAATGTGGACTGTGAGAGTTACACTGATGCAACACTCAATGCAAAGCTGTGTTTCAATGTCAAAAGTCACTGAAAAACTAACACAGCCCCCCCCTTCCTTCCTTAAAGACAATGACGAATTAAGTATTAAATGGCTACTGGAGACCGACTGTATTAGGTTTATAACTTTTTGACTGAAGAACGTGCTGTCGTCAAAACCACAGTAAATACCATTTAGATCCAGAAGATGTATTTTGTCCAAGGTCATACTCAAGGTAACTCAAGTCTAGCTCTTTGTAAAATCTAAAAACACTGATTCAATGTAGCTTTAATATTAAGACTCATACGTACTGTACGGCTGTAAAAAGAAGAGATCGTTCAGCGAGGTGCATACAGAATTGAATTAGCACAAATCTACCTGTTTAACTGTGAAACCGTGGATTTTCTCTCCCCCTTCATATTGGAGTGCTCTTTCTGTGGCGGAGCTGCTGTTGTATCTCCACGTCCTCTGACCAAAAAACCTTCATTTTTAAAAGCAAATATTCAAAAACTGTGCTGCACGTGTTGCATTACATTTTCTAAAACGCACTGAAAGGGGTCTGCGGCCTTGAGTGGACACATGTACAATATGGTAAAGGGAAAAAACGAGCCGTATATATAATCAGTGATTTTTTAAAAATTAACAAGTACAGTACAACTGAAGTGATAACTGATCGTTGTCAATTTAAATATCAAACGGGCATTTTCTAAGACATGAATGAAGTCTGTCACACATCAGCAGCTGACGTAAACGTTCTACCTCGTGAAAAATGACACTGTATTCAGAAAAGCTGAGTCACGCTGGGGTTTGCACATTAAAATACAAAGTTACATACAGTAGAGTTAAGATTACATTTTCTCGCTAACACCGGCACGGCTAACAATGCTGTCGGGAAAAAAATATATATTGATTTGCCCCTACCTTAAATATCTAAGCTTCTTTACCACAGCTGACGTTTGCCTCAGCATTTTGCAATCGTTCAGATACCCACCGATAAACCACTGAACACAGATGCAGTTATCTTAACACAAACACAATGCAAATATAACACTTCATTCCGTTTTAAAAAAACATTCGAGCTCTCATAATCCACACCTCTCTGTCATGTTGCAATGAAACACATGTATTATCTTAATAATGCCACTTCCCATTGGCTCAAGGATGCAAGTACGGCAAAGCAGATTGGCCAAACTTCCTGAACGCCCTGCTCAGTAAAAAGTGCTCATGTACAGCTGCTAGAGTTTGAGAACGAGCTGCGCTCGATAGGGCTTAGAACCAATCGGAAACTGTCCATACTATGCCGGCGTACTAAGAAGTTTTCAATTGTTTTGCATTTACATTATTAAAGAAACACGAAACAAAATGGATTAGCAATCAACGAGGTGAACCTATGGTCGTAATTTATTCGCGTTTTTAAAATTTCCTATTTTGTAAACGTATTTATAAATTAAATTTTCAGTTTTCAGATCAAATGATTTTAGACAATAATACTGTATATAGGTTTTTATTTCCAAAGCACCTTAGAATTATTGCATTTATATAAAACAACTATAACTTGAACTAAACTAAAATTGCAATCATATCCAACAACAAAAAATGTTTTTCTATCACATAATTCCCAATTTCTCCTTTTGGTGACCCAGGTGCTTTGGTTGACATAGGCATTCCTCATGTAAGTCATAAAATGTCTTAAAATGCTCATATGCTAAGATTGAATAGAAGTATTGAATGCTGGTTTTAAAAACTATCAAAATTAATAAGTGAATGAAAAAGTTAAAAATGGCATGAATTCACTTGAGGTGACTACAATATTAGTTGGCTAGACAGACAATATTGAAAAAGTGCTTTATGTAGGACTGTATGTCAAAAATAAGAACCACAGAAAATTAAATAAGATTAAGTGGTATGGCAGTGGTTTGGAAGTTTTGTTCAATGGTTTGCCCAATAAAGACACAATCATCTGTGATCTGCCATAGACAGGTGCTTAATTACATGGAGATTACATGGAGAGACACAATCAATATGGAAAAAAATATTAACAAGTACTAGTATTGGTATTGAGTGCTGCTCTTCCTTATTGATTACAAATAATATATCACAGTTAGCAGTTCCACAAGATACTGTGTAGGAGTTATGTTTCTAAAATCCATGGATGGCAAAACAACAGGAGAAGATATACTGTAGTAAAAACATTTATTAACCATTTTGAGGAAAGATTAATTGACTAAAACATTTTCTGTGGCAACTGACAGTGACCGTGCTTTGGTTGGAAAATAGAAGGTTGTATTTTTCATTATATTACTCATCCAGGAAATCACTGTGCAAAGATTTTATAATTCTGAGCTCAGTAATGTAATTACAAAAGTGGTGAAGATAATTAATCTTTCTGTTGCTCAATCTGCCTTGATGCTCAGGCAGTTTAAAGCTCTGCTTCAGGAGATGGGTAGTGCATACTGGGACATTCCCCTTCACAGCAATGTTTGTTGACAATTCTGTGGGAAGGCTTTGGCATGACATGTGGATTATTTTGGATTGACAAGACAATGCCTTTGGCAGATTTGTTACATGCACAGCAGGGGAAATAACAATGCATGTTACTATGTTACTACACTGTTAGTACCATATATGCAGCATGTCAGTAGTGCAGCAAATCGCTAGGCTTTGCAATCTACTCTGTTTATTTGCACTTCAAATAATTAAAGAAACTTGTGAATGCGTGTATTAAGTTATTTATGTCATGAGAAGTTGCTGTGATTAAAGTTCCTGGAGTGTGAGCTGTCTTCAGGTCGTAACTTATTCACTTTACCTGTAGTCTTCAACAGCTTTCACAAGATTATTCTCCTTCTCCAAAACTGCATTGATTGCAGCCAGGTGTGTCCCTGGCATCATTGCTTAAGCTAAAGACTATGGCATGGAGGCTTGTGCTATTGATTTAAAAAGTCTCCCTAGCATGTGCACAGCTGCTAGCAATCACAAGATCCTCTTCCCAATCAGTCGTTCTGACATTATGGCACATGGCCAATAGAGAATGCAACCCGGCAAAAAAAAAAAACTAAATGTCTCCCTATTCTGTGCATTTGTGTCATAGTCAGAAAAAGCCTCAAGTACCAATCTTGTGAATTCAGCTCCATATTAATCCAGGATTGTATCTGCCTATGTGAGCAATAGTACATATTAGAAAATAAGCAATTTGTTTGTATCACCCTTCAGCTTTTCTTAATACTGTCAACATCAGTCCAAATGGGAAGCTGGCAGGCTACACCACAAAAGAATTGCAAGATCTTTCAATCATGTTGGCAGGAGACTCACAAGTGTGTCCCCATAGTCCAAAACACTTTTTTTTTCTCCAGAATCTGCACCACTACTTCAAACCGTATGATCCAGTTTGGGAGAAGACTGATTCCCAGCACCATTAAAGATAGGAATCCTTATGCGACGAGGTTCAAACTGTCTAGCCAGCTAAGTAATTTATAAGTGACAAAAAAATTTGGAGTGAAAAAAAAACTGAAGGGAAGTCTTTCTCTTTTGTTCCCCTTTTTATGGTAATGGAGGTATCTTTTGTGTTTATAAACAGAGTGCAGTCCATATCAGTTTTCTCTTAATGTTCTCAAGTTACAGATGTCAGCATCCCAATTCACAAAACACAGTGGTAAACTTTTATAATGTGTAACTTGCTGTATTTGCTGTTTGAAAATACAAGCACAGAGAAACAAGTTTTCAAGATGAAATGTCACAGGAATATTTTTATTTACTACTCTTCCCAAAAGATAATTTACATTGCTACATTACCAAATAGAATCTGAAAATATAAAGCAGCAGAAACCCATTCATGTTCCAGATGACTCATAACAGTTACTGAAACCCTTTCCAGCAGGCTCAGAATTAAGAAACGTAATTGGTGATTAACATGATGTTAAGCCTCTGTGACCACAAGCCCCAAATGCTGTATTGAAATAACAAAATATTTATATAGCCTTGACACTGAAATATGAAACAAAATTAAATACATCACATATTGAATTAGTATTCATTGTACTAGCTTTTGAATAGTTTTTTAAAAGTTGCTAATTTAAATGTTAGGAGTTTGAATCAGATCTTAGAAATTTAGCAAAGTTAGACCACAAGTGTTACCCGCACTTGACAGGAATGACATTCAGTACTATAGCTACATTTTGATTTTCAAATTTTGGATTTGAATATTGGTCATCTTTATCTTCCTATCAACCACTAAAAACACATATTTTTTATTTATTCTGCACCTTTTTTGATTAAATTCAAGCCACACAGTGATAAGTCAATAAATTTAAGAGATTTAAAGAGATTTCTAAAACACATCTTCATGAAGTCGAGTGAGTCCTGTTACAATGGCTCCCACTAGATGTCAGCGTTAGACTAATCTGAGGAGCTGAGGATCACCCTTTTTGATGCAACAAGTACACATTCCCTGATTGAACAGATTTCATAGGAAGGAAACATGTGACTGATATTGGATTTATGACAACTTTCTAATTAAAGTCTTTATATTTGTGCTAATGTCAGGAAATGTTTATCTTTTAAAGGTTTTTCTTACTCGGGGTCTGAGAACTGAGCTCAGCCCTTGTCTTTCCTACAGCATTGGTTTCTCTCAGGCTATTGAGTTTTTTTAGCAGATTATACTTTCCAATATTCTTATTGTTTTCACAGAATAAAAATATTCATGTTGAAAATGCAAATAAAGAACTGACATAAATCAGGTGCGGTGGCTCTGTGGCTAAGGATCTGTGGCTGGAAAGTTGCCAGTTCATATCCCGCGGCCGGCAGAGGAATCCTACTCCGTTGGGCCCTTGAACAAGGCACTTAACCCCAACTGGTCCAGGGGTGCCGAATAAATGGCTGACCTTGTGCTCTGACCCCAAGCTTCTCTCTCCCTGTCTGTGTGTCTCATGGAGAGCACGTTGGGGTATGCGAAAAGACAAATTCCTAAGAAATTGTATTGCTTTATATAGAAATTATATACAGTATGGCCAATAAAGTGATCTTATAAATAGCACAATATATAAAGCATAATATAGTATATTGTATATGTGTATACAGTATAATGTTCATTTATACTTAATACATTTACATGGAAGGAGCTCAGAAAACATCCTTGCACGTAAACCTCCATAAGGTTACAATTACCATACAGGTGCTCTAAGAATATAATTATATAATTAAATTGTGTGCCAGTTACAGATAATATTAGTGATAATTTGGATGATATCCATAGTAAAGAGTTCCAAACAGTTGGTTGATAAGGAGGATTGTCCAGCATGACAAGCACAGATGTCCACTGCTGCCAGGAAATGCAAAGGAATCTTGTTTATAGTGTGGCAATTTGGAAATCACACTGGAATCTGAGATTCCACACTGGCTTTAGTAGCTTATTGGAAGCCTTGTAGGACACTTGGGTTGGACACAACACTGCTGCAACTCATATTTTCTTCCTAATTTTCTGATTCAGTGCTGTGACGATTTTAGATATTTATGGATTTTGACCTCTTCAAAAAGCTGCTGGTGCGGTATTAAGCCATACTGGTAATATTCTTGTAGTGGTGGCGACTATAGCCCATGTTAATATCCTGCATCTGCCAAAATGCCATTGACTTTTTTCCATGTTTTATGCCGCCTAGTTATAATTGTAATAATTATTGCTTACACTTATTTAGCACTTTTCTGCACACCCCACTCAAAGTGCTTTACAGGTAATGGGGACTCCCCTCCAATGCGCATCCCCCACCTGGGTGATGCGACCGCAGCCATAGTGCACCAAAACGCTCACCACACATCAGCTATCAGTGGGGAGGAGAACAGAGTGATGAAGCCAGTTTATAGATGGGGATTATGAGGAGGCCATGATTAGGAAAGGCCAATATGCCAAGGTTACACCCCTACTCTTTTCGAGAAACACTCTGGGATTTTTAATGACCACAGAGAGTCAGGAACTCGATTTTACATCTCATCCAAAGGATGGTGTCTTTTTACAGTATAGTGTCCCCATCACTATACTGGGGCATTAGGACCCACATAGACCAGAGGGTGAGCACCCCCTGCTGGCCCCACTAACATATCCCTCCAGCAGGAACCTTAGTTTTTTCCAGGCAGTCTCCCATCCAGGTAC